AAGCCGGCAAGGAGCTGAGGCCGCAAGCCGCCTGAGCAGCCGGGGCTCCAGCGCGTGGAACGTCGGCCCGAGGTGGTCGAGGTCCTCGGGGTGGATCGGAGGAGCTTCGGGTAGCAAGGGCTCCCAACTTCGCGCTTCGCGCTGCGCGAAGCGCGAATAACTTCGCGCTCTCGCGCCGCCCCCCCAAAGGGAGAAGAGGAGGACGAGGAGGAGGGGGGAGGAGGAACGAGGACCGCGAAGCGCGAAGCGCGAATAACTTCGCGCCCTCGAGGGCGCCCTTGGGGTAGGGGATCGACTGCAGGACTCATTTGCCCCAGAATTGATTTGCCCGTCGAGTCTGCAGAAGGGCACGTGGAATCTCCGTAGACCTACAAACAATTCTACGCATGTGTGGCATATTCGGCGACGGTTTCAAGTTTGGGGCAAATCAATGATGTACCCATCGGTCGGAAGAAGGAGGTAGAAACATGAAGTAGGAAGGTGTTGGAAATAGGTTGGGTTCCGTCCACCCCCTGAGAAGGACAGAAAAGGTGAAACCGCTCGATCAGTGAAGCAGGAAGGCGCCTAACGTAGATTGGCATCTGGGAACCCAGAAACACCTGCCTTCAGCGACCGATAGGCAGTCGATCTCCTGCTCGAGTCCTCGGGGTGCATCGGAGGAGCTGCGGCCCAGACCTGCGGCGGGCTGCTCTCTGCGTCCTCGGCGGTGTTCCTCGCTCTCGGCCTCCGGGTGCCGCGCCCGGGGGGCTCCAAGAGTCTCCGGGGGATCTTCCGACCCGGGTCAGTGCAGACCCGGGCCAGTCAGGCCCTGCAGGATCCTGCAGGATCCTGCAATGCATTGGGCGTGGCTTAATGGGGGGGTCACAAATGGGGGGGTCAGAAACGGTCCCCTTTCGTGCCCCTTTCGGGCCCCTCCGGAGCCCCAGGGGGCTCGTTTAGGTACCGTTTGGGTACCTTTTCGGACCACCCTCACCAACCCCCCATTTATGACCCCCCCATTACGCAACGCCCAATGCAAGCTCTTGCACCCAAATCCGGGTCAGTGCGCCCCTGGCCCTGCGGAATCCTGCAAGATCTGGCGCTCTGGCTGACCCCCTGGTGTGCATTGACCCCCGTCTCCTGAGCCCCGACGGGCCATCGGGAAGCTTTGCTGAAGGGGCCCTGGGACACATTAACAAATACACAAAAATAAGAAAGAGTCCCCACATTTTCTCATATTTCCTGTGTCTTTGTCTCCCCCCCCACTGCCCACATTGTCCCATCTTTTCTGGGAACCGACGATTCATTGTGTCTGTGTGTTTTTCCCTCCTTTGTATAGGGCGGGGGCCTGAGGCCCTGGGGCCCACGGATCGAGACATCAGGCCGCCAAGAGGTCTGGGGGCACCACTCCGCTCTCCAGGGCTCCCAACTTCGCGCCCTCGCGCCCCGCGAAGCGCGAAGAGCTCCGCGCCCTCGCGCCGCCCCCCCCGAAGGGAGAAAAGGAGGACGAGGAGGAGGGGCAGAAGGAGCGAGGGCCGCGAAGCGCGGGGCGCGAACAACTTCGCGCCCTCGTGGGAGCCCCTAGCTCTGCTGTGGGCAGTCTCCCCAAGCTGGCAGACGCCTGCACGCAGCCAGTCCGCTGCTACTGCTGAAGACGCAGGCGTCTGTCATCCTGAAGCCCTCCGTGGCGCCATCGGGCGCCTCTTGAGTGCCTCTTGGGGTATCCCAAGCAGCCCGCAGAGCTGACAACCGAACGGTGCCATCGGGCCCAATCACCGTGTGTTAGCCATGTGGGCTCGACGCGAATTCAAGAAGATTGCCGCCCAGGCTGGCATGCGGCCTGAAATCGAGGATAGGCTGGCACGCCCTGACATGATGATGGACACACTTTTCCACGCGCGGCAGCAGCTCCTCGCGCTGGAGCATCATCGCCGGCAGTCGAGCTTGATGGGCCAACCACATTCTGAAGACAGCAAGTGACTGATTCCGTCCTCCACCATCATCTCCTCCACGGAAGCGCGATTGTCATCATGGCTCAGCTTCGGCCGGCCCCCTTCGCGTGAGCCGGGTGAGAGGCTCCTTCGCCACAGCGGCACAGCGTCCCCCTGCCCGGTGAGGGTCCTCAACTACCTGGTCCTCCGCCAGATCCCCCTCTGCGTGTGGGCGAGACGAGTCGGCGCGGGGCCCCGGGACGCAGCGACTGGAGCGAGGGCGGCGGCGGCGGCCAGGCTGGTTCCTCCTCCTCCTCCTACTCCTCCTCCTCCTCCTCCTCCTCCGCCTCCTCCTCCTCCTCCTCCTCCTCCCATCCTCTCTCGTCATGTTGCTTCGAAAGTAACTCTCCCCCCTGTCGCGCCCCGAGGCCTGTCGGAAGGGCGGGCTGGGCGTTTCACTTGAGACTTCCTTACCATTTATGTTCGAGACATCTACTCTTGGCAAAACACATTGGTGGCGGGCGGTTTTCAAAATGTGGCTCTCGCCAAAGTTCCGCACCGCGTTATTTCGAAAGTGTAGGAAGTTCGAGACAGCAGATGAAACTTTCCTGGATGACCCAGGATTACGTAAAAGGGTTCTACAATGCTCTAGAGGGCTCTAGACGGATGCAGAGGGCACCCCAGTACTTTCGAGTTCCATCGAAGGCCCTACGCATCTCTAGACGGTGCTGACTGGGTGCCGGATGCATCAAAGAGCCCTCGAATCCTCCCGATTGCTGTCGGGTGCTTCCGAAGGCCTTCGAAAGACCTAGAGGGTTCCACAATCATTCAGCCCGCCGCTCGACCGACAGGCACGCGCAGTGGGCGCATAGCCCCATGGAGGGCGAAGTCGTATAGATAGGGAGAGGCGCAGTAACATGTCTTCGTTTCTCCCAGCCCCCCCCGCCGCCCTTTCCCCCATCCCCCTCCCCCCGCCTCAAAAACGCCAACCCCGTTGGGGTTTGTTTTGTTCGGGGTAGAAGGGGGCACAAGCAAAACAAATACCCACAGGCGCGAGCAATTGGCGCAAAGACTTATGAAGGGCGAAAGCGGAGGGATAGGAGGCGGAGAAGCAGTCTTTCCTCTCCCCCCCCCCTCCCCTTCCTCCCGAAACAAAGACCAAAAAAAACGCCACCCGACCCATGTTTGTTTTTCTCTGGGGAGGGGGGGCCGACCAACAACCAAAATTACTGACAGGCGCGCGCAGTGGGCGCAGAGCCTCATGGAGGGCGAAGGCGGAAGGATAAGAGGAGGCGAAGCAAATTTTCGTTTCACCCCGACCACCCCACACACGTACACATATACATACACATACACATAAACATACGCATACAGAGACACACAACACACATACACACACACACACACACACACACGCACTTTCAGCTGGCGGCGCAAAGGAACCTCAGGTGCGGTCGGCAGATGAAGGTGCCAATTGCGAACGAACTTAGTCGAACGCACCGCTATCAAATAATCCAGCCACGGCCGTGCAACGAAACAAAACGAACATGAAACAACACAAAAAAACACAAAAACAGCCCGCCTCGTTTTTCGTGTTTGTTTTCGGGGGGCGGGGGGGAGAAACAAAAGAAGGGCTGCTCCTCTGAGGAGCAAAGCAGATGCAGGGAAGGAGGAGGAGGACGAGGAGAAAAGGAGGACGAGGAGAAACACGTAACACGCGAGAGAGCGTGCAGAGCATGCGCGCAAACCGCCACCAAGGCCTTTGAAGACGCACGCGCGAGCTCGGTGCGAAAACCACGCGCGCCCTCGATCCCGAGGGGCTCCGCGGTCCCCCGCTCGCGCCTGGGGAGGGAGGCTGAAGCCGTCTGCGCGCAGCGGACTTCGTGCCCCGCATCCACCCCTCGTCATCGTCATCACCAGCACCAGCACCAGCACCAGCACCACCACCATCAGCACCAGCACCAGCACCAGCACCAGCATCATCATCATCATCATCATCATCATCATCATCATCATCATCATCATCATCATCATCATCAGCATCATCATCATCATCATCATCAGCATAATCATCATCATCATCACCATCAGCATCAGCATCAGCTTCACCATCACCATCACCATCACCATCACCATCACCATCACCATCACCATCACCATCACCATCATCATCATCATCATCATCATCATCATCATCATCATCATCATCATCATCATCATCATCATCATCATCATCATCATCGCCATCATCAGAAACATCTCTCTCATAATCATCATCAGCAGCAGCATCAGCAGCATCATCATCGTTCCGACCCGAGAGAGATGACTACCGACCAGACCTCCACAACCCAACCCGAAGACCCACACTTCGGGTTGGGAGGGGGGTACGGGTCCCAAACGTGTTTGTCAATATTCCCCGACGACCCGTGCCCCCCTCTCCCAATCTCCCCCCTGTTCCGAACCGCGAGATGGCTACCGACCAAAAAACCCCAACCAAACCCGAAGACCCAAATTTCGGGGTGGGGTGGGTGTGTGTTCGGGTTCCAAATGTGTTTTTTCAATGTTCCCCGACGACCCCCCACTGGGAATGGAGGGCAAGTTGGGGCCTTCGGGTTGGGTTGGGGTGGTTTGGTGGGTGGTGGGGAGAGGGAGGGGGGGGGGGGGGCAAAAAGGTATCGATACCGCTGCACACACCACGAACATCTCCTCTTGTGCGTTCTGGCAAGATTTCGATGCGAATCCAGCCGTGGCGACGAGGGAAGGGAGTTTTCCCCATCTGAGAGAGGATGAGAATGAGAACTCTTATCCAGCAAATCTCTCAACAATGCCCTGTCTAACGCACGCCAGGGGGGGCTCCACGAGATGCAGCTGGCAGAACTTGCAGTTCGTGTGCGAATACACCGCCAAGAATAGTCCGACGTGGTCCTGGGGAGGTGTGGAAGCAGGAGGATGCGACGGAAGAGGCGGAGGATGGAGGCAAACGCAATCCAATCCAGCCCGCTCCTGAAGCCGGGTCGGAACAGAAGCAGCGCTGCGCCAATCTTCTGTGCATCGGGTCTACAGCGGTCTACTCTCATGGAACCGTGCCTCGGCCTCCATGTCCGCTCGAGCACCGCTCGCACTGCCCCTCCCTGGCGATCTGCCGTTCGGGCCGAGGCAGGAGCAGAAGAACGAAGGAAACACTTCTCCAGGCCAAACTCGGCTGGCCGAACTCGGCCAAGCTGAATCCGGCCGATCGAAACTCGGCTGGGGCAGAGATCCGCGTGGCCAAATTTAGCGCGCGGGTCAACTTTCTCTGGCCGAATTTTATGTTGCTCCCATCGTACTTAAAGACCACATCCCAGACATAATTTCGAGCACCCAGAAAAGTGTCGAAAGGGTGTCGACATAGTGTCGAAACAGTGTCGGACGCGTGTCTCCCAGGGCCCGACACGCGAACCCCCCCAAATGTTTGGGTACTTTTCTGGCACTCGAAACTCTTCCTGGTGATCGAGGTTAAAGTAGGTTGGCACATCATAAGCCGAGCTGTTCTATCCGATTTCAACCCGACGAAATCATCCGGCCGACTTCGTCTTGGGTGTGTGGTGACAGACCCGGCGGTGACCTCGAAATCCGCAAAGACCTCACCGCACGGTCTGTCACCACACGGTTTTGGGACCCTGGAGGCTCCAGTCGCCCGAGACATCCTCGGAGAACGACCCAAGTCCCAAAACCGTGCGGTGACCCCGAATCCCCACCGACTCACCACACGGTGTGGTCACCACACCGTTTGGGGGCCCCCGACGATTTCAACCCGACGAAACCATCCGGCCGACTTCGTCCGGCCGACGTAGAAGCGCGGACTCCCGCTGCAGCCGGTGCGCTGGCCGAGCTTGGCAGGCCGAGTGTGGCGCCAGTCAAGCTCCGCTCGCGGCCGAATTGATTCCCCGGCCGAGCTCATCTGGCCGAGATCCACCTCTCCACCCGAAGTCCCAGACCCCCGACGTCATGATTTTTTCATTACACGACCCCCAGAGGTCCAGACCTATTCGCCGGGACCAGTTTTTCATCCCGAGTCGTTTTTTGACGGTCCCGAGGGCCGGTAAGGGCCCCCAGAGGCCGAAAATAGCGAAAAACCTTCCGTCGTGATTTTTTCATGACTCGAGGGGGTCTGGGGTTCTGCCCAGCCGCTGGCCGAACTCGGCCGGCCGAGTTTCTCTGGAAGCGTCTGGGGGAACCGCAGCGGGCGCCTCGCGAGCGCACGAAGCAGCCGGGGCGAGGCCTTGGCTCGGAAGCCCAGCGCGAGGGCACGGAGCGCTGGAGAGCACGCGCGAGCATGTCGGGGCGGAGGAGTCCGTAGCCGAGCCTCAAACAGGCGCAGCCTCCTCCTCCTCCTCCTCCTCCTCCTCCTCCTCCGCCTCCTCCTCCTCCTCCTCCTCCTCCTCCTCCCAGGCCCACTGCGTTCGGCGACGATCTACGGCCTGGGCCAGGGGTGGCAGGGGACCTGCAATGTGCGTGCGTGAGTGCGGCCCCGCCCTGAGCCCAGGATGCGACGAGGACCGCGACGGCAAGGGTATGGCCAGCGCCAGGGGTGGCAGGGGACCTGCAAAGTGCAGTCCTGTGTGCGGCCCCGCCCTGGGCACTGGCAGCGGGTCTCTGGAGCGGCGTCGCCTGAGGAGGACCAGCGGCAGCCGCAGCTGGCTTCTGGGGAGGCGTGTCCACGTGCAGCTACGGCTGGTGCCAGGGGTGGCAGGGGACCTGCAGTTTGCGGTCCTGAGTGCGGCCCCGCCCTGAGCACCAGCACCCACCCCGATCGGCGACGGAGTACGGCCTGGGCCAGGGGTGGCAGGGGACCTGCAATGTGCGTGCGTGAGTGCGGCCCCGCCCTGAGCCCAGGAAGCGACGCGGACCGCGACGGCATGTGCATGGCCAGCACCAGGGGTGGCAGGGGACCTGCAAGTGCCGATCGTGTGTGCGGCCCCGCCCTGAGTGCTGGCAGCGTTGCGGTGGCTCGGCCTGAGCCAGCGCAGCCGAGGCGCAGCGTCGCGCCCAGGCTTGAGCTGCAGGTCGCTGGATGGGCGAGGTACTGGACCCAGGCTCCCGAGGTCGGCGAGACGATGGAGTGCTACAGCGAGTGGCTCGACCACTGCGTCGGCTATGTCACGCAGATCCTGTCCCAGCCGCGCTTCGCCACCAGGCTACGGGCGCGTGGGAGGACGGCCGAGGAGATGGCCGAGGAGATCTGCGAGCGGGCCTGGGGGACTGGCATGCCTGCGAGGCGGGCCTACTACAGGTGGCGCCACACGCTGATGCGGTCGCAGAGGATCGTGTCGGACTGCATGCGGCGCTACGACTACGTGTGCCTGCGGACGTGGCTGGCCGAGCTGCGGCGGGAAGGGCAGCCACCCCCCATTGGCCCGCTCAGAGCGCCTTCGGTGCCGTGGAATGCGGGACGCAGGAGGCGACGGAGGAGTGGTTGAAGGTCGGCCTCTCCTGGCACGGGCAGCCGCTGCGTGGCGTTCTGGCCCCAGCGGCTCGCCGCAAGGCGCTGCGCGGCGGTCTGGCCCCAGCGCGCCGCCCTTCGCGTCCGTCGACGTGATCGGCATCACTGGCCTCCCCTGAGGCTGCGGCCCCCTGGCCGCCTGTGCTGCGTCTAGTTGGCCTGGCCGACGCGACGTCCTGCCGCTGCTCTCGCTGCTCTCCCAATGGAGCGGACGAGATGTCAAGCACTGCAGCGCGCAGGTCCCTGACGAGCGAGTGCAGCGAGGACAGCCATGACTCTCAGGAGAGAACGCAACAGCAGAGCCGAGAAAAGAGAAACAGGTCAGCGGATGCGCAGATGAGCCGAGGCGAATTCCAAAGTAATGTAGAGCATCTGGGTGACTACAAAACGTTGTGTAGTCACGCATCTTTCCTGCCTTAGGCTGGCCTTGACCAATGAGACAAAGGACGAGCTGGGCAATGTAGCAATGACTTTGCGGGACCACAACACGTGTTGTAGTCATGCAAACGTTGCCCGCGGTCTCTAAGAGTCTCGTGCATCCGACCAACTGTGTCATTTGTCTCCTGATCGTCGTCGCCCACATCCATCCCCTCCGCGTCGTCCCCTCGTCTTTCCAAGCAGCCGTGTTCGTCCATGGCAATGTCCTCGTCCCCTCGACAGGCGCAACGCGGGGCACGGCACAGCGAACTCGCGGGCTTTCTGGAACACCGTCGCGCCTCCCAGACTAGAGATTCTGTGCGAGGCTGCGTGCGCACAAACATGTGCGCCCGACAATTGAAAGAAACCGTGACCAGCGTGTGAACTACAGGGAGCCGAAGCAAGAGCTTCAGCTCTGAGCCGAAGCAAGAGCTTCAGCTCTGCTTGGGGGGGTCGCCGGGGTGGCTCTGCTGGAGAAGGGGGGAGGGGGGGGGGGTCCTCCACCTGGTGATTTCTTAATGGTTTGCGCATCCCCAAAATGTTTCAGGGGGTCAGGACTCCCCCCGGAACCCTCCCCGGACCCCCCCGGGGAAGGGAGGGAGGGGGGGGGGTCCTCAATCTGGCGATTTCTTAATGATTTGCGCATCCCCAAAATGTTTTGGGGGGTCCGGGGGACCACCCTCAGATCTAGCCGCTACCGCCCCCAGGACCCTCCCCTCGCAACCCTCCCCGGACCCCCCCGGGACCGCTCCAGGCACCCCCCCAGAGGGCATGTCAGCTCCAAAAAGCGTCCCCGACGACTCCAAGAGCGCCCTCCCTCCCAAACAGCGTCCTCTACGACTCCAAGATCACCGAATCCTGAGCCCCCTGGATCGGCGGCACTGGCCGGAGGCCATTACAATGTAACGAACAACCTGGTAAACATAATCCGCCGACCCTGTCGGCGTGTGTGAGAGGCTTTTCCATTTGAGTCGTCGTCGTCGTCGCCGCCCCCCCTCCTCAGGCGTTCCAGCAGAGGGTAATCGAGCAATGCCGTAATCGAGTCGAAAGGAAGCCCCTTCCCTTTGATCCCTCCCCCGCCGGGGTTTCCTGGGGTTTATGACCCCCCAGAGAGTCAGCGTAGTCGTCGGCGTCCTCCTCCTCCTCCTCCCTCAGGATCGGCGGCGGTGGCCGTAAGGCTTTTGAAATAAGAAAGGCACCGAGACCGAGAGAGAGAGAGAGCGAGAAGGCCCCCGCTGTATGTCAATAGCGGGGGAGGGAGTGGCTAGAACACAGCGCCTGGTGGCGGCGCGAGCGCATCACCCTGGCGGCGCGACGACGACACGAATGAGCGCGTCGGATGAATGGACCCTAGCAGGTCGGGCAAGCGGGCGGGTCGGGCGGACCCTAACAGGTGGGTCGGGCAGATCGAGCGGGCGCGCCCTAACAGGCGGGCGGGTCGGGTCGGGCGGGATACTGCAGTAATGTGAGATCCATCTGTTAGAGAACATCCGCGAGGGTGACGACGACGACGACGACGACGACGGCGGCGGCGACGAAGATGACGAGGGTGACAACGACGACGACGACGACGACGACGACGACGACGAGTTGTGATGAAGTCGATTAGCCTTGCCTTGAGGTTTGACGGAGATTGGCTCAAGAGAACGACACATGTCGTGTGCAAGCCAATTGTTTGCAAGAACAGATGCCTCAACGTCTTCCCATTAAAAGCCACGTCTCTGGTTTTGCTGCGCCCGCGTGACTTGTTGTAGGGCTGGTGTGGGGAAAAATGACAGGAAATATGGAGGGCAGGAAAAAACGGCAAGGAAGCAATGGATGGAGGCTCCCTCTCCTCCCTCCCTTCACCCCTCCCATCGCTCCCTTCTCCTCCCTCCATGTGAAAGAAATGAGTTCAGAGCTGATCTGTAAGCAGTGTAGCAACAGCGTCAGCTAAGCAAGCAGCACGTGCAGCAGTTGCTTACTTATTCAGACGGTCCGTAACATGCCTTCCGAAATCCGCCGACCCCTTAGGGTCATCGGCGTGTGAGATGCTTCCCCCTCCCCAAACCCCTCCCCCCGGGGCCCAGTCCGGTCGGTTTGAAGGGGGGGGGGTCCGGCCAGCCCTGGCTGAACGCGCCACGGGCCTCACGACGGGCCATGAAGGCCCCAAGAGGCCCGCAAGATGATCCAAGAGGGCCCCGAGTCGCCG